TCTCCTGTACATAAAGAATGTGTCAGAAGCAACGCACTGCATCACTACAGAACGCGGCGTGGATATTGCCTATCATCCAATTGCGTCTGCAAATCATGCAAAGTAAAGACCGATTGGAGATAAGTGAGCAGTCTGGCGTCGTTTATCAAGTGATGCCTTGCTACTGTTCTTGCCATTATACAGGGCGGAACGGGCAACGACTTAGCTAGCGAATAATGGAGCACAAAACAGCAGTGCGGAAAGGCGACCCACTATCCCAGATCGCTCCTCACACCCTGGAGGAAGGCCACGAATTCAACTTCGCAGGCACACGGATATTGGCGAGAGCCAGTAATAAGAGGGGAACCAATAGAGGCCTAGGTGTCTGATTCCAACTTCCTGTACGAGACCGAAAGCTGAGACAAGTATAAGGGCTGTCCCAGTGATCGCGCCTTTGTCTTCTTTGTAAAAAGACCTTAGGACAGCCCATATTCGCATCCATTCGGAATAAGGTAAGTACTCACATTTGCCTTTTCCCCGGTAAATTCAAATACAGCGAGACAAAAGTTAAAAGTGGGATGGTGCGATAGATATAAAAATGGAAGATTCAAAGAAAACAGCAAACCTGGAGAGGATTCGTTTCAATTCGGCGTCCGAAATTAGCTCCGCATCGACCGTGGGCTCAGTTTCCTGCTCCGGAGGATCCAGTAGCTGCATCAGATCAAAGGTGTCCTTGGGACCGGACGATGCACTGTCGGAGTGTCCTTTCCCAGAAGCCTGGTTACCCTCGAAAGTAATCCTGCTGGCCATCGCGGATAATTCAGACTCATCCGAAACGCTCCCATTGCACTAGTGTAAAACACACCAAAGTCATTCAGGTTGAGTGAATGAATTTATGCGTGAAATGGAAAACGATAGCATAAGCAAATGTCAATTTTTATGGCATTTGTGGGGTATTGCAAATCAATTATGTACTGGTGTACTGCGATCCAAAAGCTAAGTACTTTAAGCACTTGTGTACCCACTTGACAAGATTTTAAATACCTTATGGCG